TTGACGTACGCGTACGCGCACGTAAAGTCGCGCGAACTGAAAATTAAGGTACCTGACATTCAACCTTGACCTGAAGATTATGCTCACTTAATATGATTCAGAAATGACGAATGGTTAAGATTATATGGGCTCATCAACGTTTTGAGGAAAGAAAGATGTGAGGGTCAGAAAAAACAATTTTTTTGACCATGATGACGTCATCAAAATCTAAAAAGAAGTCAAATATATGAAAGAGAATTGTCTCAGCTATAACATACTGAAAGTTGGAAGACGATCGATCAAGGATAAGCGAGATACGCGTATTTTCAAAAATGACGTCATAGCTATAAATCACTTTCTTTGAATTCAGACGCCAATATGATGGCGTCACAATGTCCGATCTGCCATTATGATCTCTAAAATCATATTTACAACTCATGTGCTTTCTGAGTATGTAATAAAAAATGGGGGTCACCTTTCAACCTAAGGAGCTATAACTGATTAAAAATAGGTCTGATTTTAGAATAATTTCACTGTATAGCGGCACAAATACGCACAAAGATACTTATGTTTGATGCGCACGTACGGTATTGCTATTGGCCAAAAGATGACCGAAAAGAATGGAAATTTGTGAAAACAATGTCGGGAACCCAAAATATGTAAAATAACGTGATTTCTAGCTTCCTTACGTGCTGCGCAAGTAAAAATGCGCGCGCGTAGTGGAAAATTTCAAAAAAATTTGAAATGCTCAAAATGGCCTAAAACGTGCTCTAATTTAGTCAAAAAGTGATTTTGAGCATTTTAAAAATTTGACGCACGCGTACGCACGCGTACGCACGCGTAGGGAAGCGCACGCGTCAAATTAGGGTACAGTACATTCAACATTAACCCGAAGTTAATGCTTACTTAATACGATTTCGAAATGGTAATTGGTTAGGCTGATATTATCGATAATGTAAAAACCCAAAATTACGCGTAGATGACGTCAGGCATGACTGAGCGCGTTGAAAAGCTTACCATGACTATTCCAGACCAAGCCAAATGTTCGTTGACAGCGATTGTTCGTAACTCGTAGCATTTCTTTGAGATATCGTGCGAACAGAAAAGGGGAGAAAGAAAGAAGAATAAAAAAAAGATGATGATGATCCTGACAATAACAATAGGTGATCCGCTAACGTTAGCGGATCACCAATAATAATAATAATAATAATAATAATAATAATAATAATAATAATAATAATAATAATAATAATTTATTATTATTGGTGATCCGCTAATCTTAGCGGATCACCTATTGTTATTGTACGGAATCATCTTCAACTTTTTTATTCTTCTTTTTATTTATGACGTTATTACTTTTTATACTCGTTTGAACGTACTCGCTTATCTTTATTGATTGTCTCCCACCTGTGAGTAAGTTATAGCTAAATCAATTCTCTTCCGGACGTGTCCCTTTATTTTTTATTTTGGTGACATCATCATGGTCAAAAAGAATGCATTTTTTGGAGCCTTCTCATCTTTCTTTCTTAAAAGATGTAAACACATTGAAAATAGAGGGCGGCAGACTGTATTTCGACACTATCAGACCGATAGTTCATATACTGTAAAGGCAAAATTCGTGTGGCATTACCAACCAACAGGGGGTTTTAAATTAAACTTGACAAGGTTTAAATTCATGTGCCATTACCGTCGTCAAGCACGTCGTATAAGGTATTCGTACTTGTGCGTTAAAATTTTAAAATTGTTAATATCACTTTGCAGATAATTTAAAGCATGTTTCAGGTCATTTTGAACATTCCAAAACTTTCCAAAATTTACGCACCGTACGCCTCATTCCCACTCCCACAATATTTCACCATTATTTATGTCATCATTAGGAATGACAGGATTCCTGATGACATAAATAATGTTGGAATATTGAATCCCAACACGATGGCATGCATTTCGATACTTGAAGAATGTATTATACTATCTTATCTGGGAATAATCAATGGACCTTTAACTGTTTACAATTTTCAATTTAATTTTTGAAGATAATTTTAAGTTGTTTTCTGCCTGCCAATTTGTTTGTGTTGTTGGAGTTGCTATCAGGAGCCACTTGATAGTTTTTATAGCTTTATGGCAATCCTTGGAAGGCAGCACCATGTTTTGTTTTTATGTTTTTCCGGAAATTAAATTTGAATTCAATTGAATTGAATTCAATCATCATAGTCTGCAACTTACAAATGATAACCAATGTCGCAGACCCAGAAATTTTAAGTATTTAATTTTTTTTTTTCCTATATTTGAAGAGGGTGACATTTCCAGCTAAGCCAAGGTGGTCAGCTAATATTCAGGGGCCATCTCTATCTCTTATACAGTGGCAAATGAAGAAGCTAGAGGCTCGGGGTAAGGCTTCTTGGGCCCTACTGTCTTTGGGGCTGGGGATGGTGCACGGTCTAAGTGAGGTAAAAAGATAAGCTCTTCATGTATTTCTTTTACAATTTTTGCTCATTAAAATGCTTGTTTGGCCAATTTGGGGCCCTTGGGGCCAAGGACTAAGGTATAATTTTTTTTTTATAGCAGTGGCACCTCTTATTAGTCAATGGCACTCTCAGTTTTAAATGAAATTTGTTATTCTTTAATCATTTTTTTATATTTAGGGGTGGCCGAGTCTGCTGGGTTCCCCCTGACTTCACACCTAAACAAAGTATTGTATTTAATAACGTTTATTGATAATCATCTAACCAATCATTTGAACTTAATTAAACTAAACTAAAACCAAATATTTGATAATAATTTTTTGGTACATTTGCATTTGTTTTTTTGTTTTTTTTTGTTTTTTTCTTCTTCTCTGTTGTTGTTAAGTGCCTCGAGGTTGTGTCAACGTGAGGCGCTATATAAATCCAGAATTATTATTATTACAAGTTTAGTTTAGGCCTACCTGAATTCTAACAGATGTTAAAAATCTTCTGCATTTTATGTCGCCAAATGGCATTCGTAACCCTACGGTTATGGACTGTAAAGAAGAAAAATTAGTAGTAGTCGTATTTAATAATAATAAATAATAATAATAATAATAATACTGGCAATAATATGTTCAACTTTTTAATTAGTATGCAGTACTAATGTATGCAAGGTGTTCCATACACCTTGCATATGATTATCATTTAAAAGATCGTTCATTACCCTAATTGGTAATACATTGGTATAACTTACTAATATTCATTTAAGTTTTGTATATATACTCTTAGGAGGTTTTTGGTTTGTTTTCTGTTTGTACTGAAGATAAGTTGAAGAGTAAAACCCGAAACATGTTAAAAGAATCTCTGCATATTAAATTGAAAAGTCCAAATCTCAATTTTCAACTCAAAAACTTACTTACAATAATAATAATAATAATAATAATTTCTCTAAATCAGACTTAAGGGGAATATATTTTGTGTTAGCATCATGTTATTTTCCTCTTAACATTTTTTTAATTGTTCTTTAATTTCTTCATTGTCTAATTTAGGTTTTAGTATCATAATAATAATAATAATAATAATAACAATAATAATAATAATAATGGCTTTGAAGTTATATAATAATAATAAATAATAGTTAAAGATGTTACACTTTAAGTAATTATATACAAAAATATACCAACAAAGTAATTATCAATTTTTTCATTTTTATATAAAATCAATAACATAATAACATTTCATAGAGTAACTTCCAGGCATCTGCCCAACAGCAGTTACTATAATATGTGAAATTTATCTTGCAGTTGGTACTGGAAATTACTATTATAATTTTTGCATTCTTTTGTGCTATAATTTTGCATACAGTAATCCAGCTGGTTTGACACAGTTGGTATTGACAATTATTATAATTTGTACATTTCTTTCTATAATTTTGCATACAGTAATCCTGATGGTTTGATGGTACAGTATTGTTTTCTTTTTTTCACTCTCTTTAGGACTTCAGTATTCTGTACTGTTTGATGGAAGGAATTGAATTGTTTTTTTTAATGGGTGAAAAGATAGCAAGGGGAAATACTACGATGTGATGAGCAGTGTAACAGACATGCTTTTCTGTTTAAATGATCTCTATCAACTCCCTATACAACATTTAATATAGCAAAATACAATGGTGATCGCAAACAATATAATCATACCATATATATTCGCGTTTAAGGCGACCCGCATATAAGACGACACCCCAGTTTGAGAAGATTTTTGGACGAGTTTTGTATGTCGGGCGTATAAACGACCTCTCTGTTTAAACGTCAGAATTCCTAGTTTTTTCTGTTATTTGTGGTTTTGATATTGCATATAGCAAAGGTTTATCTTCCAAAATAATACCGTATTTAAAATTGCGTTCATTCATACTAACATTTAGTAGCTTAAGTGCAGTAGTAAATTTGCACGTTATGGACGATCCACACATAAAACAAACATGATTTAATAAAGTAAATCTAAAATTTATATGCCATGTGTACAAGACGACCTCCTGTTTTCCAATCGTAATTTACTATTTTAAGCCTCGTCTTATATATTATTTGCGAATGAATAAAATGGACAATACCCCTACCTCCAATTCACTTCTTACAAGTGGCTCCTCTGGCAATTTCACCTAGTGAGATAAAAATTAAAAGATGCAAGATTTCAATTTTCTTTTGTATTACTAAAGTTTTGAAAATGATTTAATAAAAAATATCTTTCATATGACTATATTATATTCAGTTTTTTGTGCTGTCTGTGGTTGTCGTGTTAAATGTTGTTTATTCTCGACTATTCTTGATTATTAATGTACTGTAAATGTGAGGTGCTTTATTAAAGCACCATATAAATGAAATAAATAACAAAATTAAAACACTGATTGTGCAGACCCTCCTTACTTGACAAATATGACTTTTTAAAATATAAAAATCATAAAAAACATAAAAAGCAAACAAATGCAGTGCTAGCACCAGAAAAAAAAAAGGTTCCAACATCCTTGAGAATTGACCCACACCCCCCTCAGTTCTAATGTGGTTAGGGCTGAGGTGAGCACACATATTAAAGAATAGTCATCTTTAAGTGCTCAAAATAAAGAATCTCAAATTGTAATGCTTTTTAAAAGCAGTGTTCCCAGATCGAATGATTGGGTTCTACCTAAACATACTGGTAAATGTGCATGCTCATGTGTCTGTGATGTGCCTGTACTTCATGTACTGGTAGGCCTACAGACTGCAGACTTGACCTTGGGTTTATCTACTGTTGGGAGGAACATTCTTTTTACTTCTCCTCCCCCAATCTTATGACGTCCATGATTACTCATCACAAGTAATACTGTAGCTGGAGGCCATTAATATGAATACAATATAATTTTTTCATTTTCAGTCTTAAATTGATCTTGGGCCTCTAGCATTTAAGCCACCACACTATACTTTATTATACAGATATTGCCTGCTTAGAGGTGTAATATAACATTTGATATCCCCGAGGGAATTATATTTTTTTCGAGGGATTGTATATATATATATAGAAAATATAGTCCTGAGAAAAAAATTCCTAAGGGGATATCAAATGTTATTATTACACCGATAGAAAAGGCAATATCTGTTATATTACATAGCCAAAAATAGATGCAAATAATTAACTGAACACATTACTTAAAATATAAAGAACTTTTATTTAACTTTTACACAATATCTGTTACATAGCCAAAATACTTCATATTTACCGTCACTTTTTAAAAATGTTTCTGTAGTCCGTAGCGTTATCATTGATCGTTTAGCGTACAATTCACTGTTTGCTCTCCTTACCTCAGCAAAGATTGACCGGAGAAATGTGTTGAGCTCTGTTGCTGTGAAATTTTCAATGCAAGTAGGCCTAGGACTAATTGATGATTCCTTGGCCTTACAATATTCACTGAGTAGGCCTACAGTACATTAACGGATGAATTCACAACAAATTTTGTACTCTGAGAATCCTTTTCGTCAATAACTCTATCCAATTTGTCTTCGTCAAGAGATTTAAACTTAGGCCTATTTGAAGTCGCCATTTTCGAAGCGGTGGGCTTACATATTCACAATTCGTGAGCGATCGATCGTGCGCTCGACTAGCATTCACTACAGGCGCAATGCGGGTGTAATCCGGTGACGTCAGAGACCAGTCACTTTTCAAAGTTATTTTCCCTATGAGGAAATATAACGTTTCCGATCCTCGTAGCGCTAGTCACGCGATGCCATTTCGACCAATCACGTACTCGTATTTACATAGGCTATGTAATATAACAATATAATATTTTTGTGAATTAGTCATGAAAACTGTATTTGAAATGGAAGGACCATGACAAAGGAAACGCAGTAGCATCTACGAATGGTTAGTCATTCTCATTTCTTAAACATTGAATATTACTATAAATATATTTTTTTCTTTAATCTTTGGTTTATCTTGTGTTGCATATGGACTTGGTGCAGGTGGTGGGTAAGCTGAATCAGGCAGATGTTGAACCGATACTGCATCCTTGGTTGTCTTCTTTCCTCTTCTTGTGAAATTTTCTTCTTCACTACCCTACAGAATTGGCTTAGAATTTAATTTTAACCAAATAAAAAATAAAATTCATTCAAATCAATTACCAAATAATTCATTCTGCAAAAATCATAAATGTAAGGAAAATGTTATAAAGATAAACTTTCTCAATCTGAGAATTATATTTATATAAATATTTGGCAATCATAAAAGTATAGCAATTGACAGTCAAAACCCTTACTGTGGTCATATGGTTGATATCATGTGTAAGCGTAAGAAGAGGAAATGTTTTAAAACATAAACATTTCCTTTTCTTATGCTTTCACAGCAGCAGAACCAACAACAATCAACAATAACAATGGGAATTATATTCCCAATCACATTTTTGAAAATAATTATAATCAGTGATTATATTTCTTAAGCCCTGTCCAGACTATCACATTTTATTTGACAAAAACATGACATGCCTAAATATGGTTATGATGACATCACATCATGCCATATATAGGCACATCAAGACTATATATAAGCACAACAGTTTTTTTGTTAAAGAAAATTTGATAGTGTGGGTAGAACCTTAGAAATGATGATAACTACTTGATTACTTTATTATGGATAATTTTTTTTCAAATGCACCAAGTGCAGGAGTGTTAAATAATTATGTTGTCAACTTACTCCCAAGGTAATAACCTTGCCCTTCCAAGCTGGTCCAGAAAATCTTTGGAACCGTTCTTTGATCTTTTGAAAATGAGCTACTTGTCGTGGTTTTGTAATTTGTTCTTCAAAATCTGCTGCCTAGTAAATACATAATAACAAGCAGGACAATACAGCCAAAATTTTAAGATATAAAAGAACTAAACATATATAATAATATAATAATATAATATAGTTAACATGTAAAAAAAAATTAAATGAATACCTTTTTGTCATTTTCTTCTTACTTCTTCTGCCAAAAGTTAGACTTTTTGGATTCAAGCTCCTCAGCTGAATATTCTGGGGAAAAATATATTGTACTATTATGCAAAAAAAAAAAAAAAATGGTAATAAAGACAGATATACATATAATTTTACTACTCAAATTTAATTTAATTATCCTTGGATGGATGGAGTGATGCACCTTGTAGGCCATCACCAACTTGAATTTAAGCATCTACGTAACGAATGCGCAAAAGATTTGTAATTTTTAAAATGGGATATTATGTAACTGATTATGCTAAATCAGTTCTCAAATTGATATAAAATCGGTAACTAAAAGTTATGTCCTATAAAATAAAATTAACATGATATGAATCAAACATTATCTATAGCACAATAGTCGTCTTTCACATGTCTTATTTAAATTATTATTTTGATGTGTACAGCAAGAACAAGATCATTAAATGACAATGCATATCTACAATAAAGAAGGTGTCCTATGTTGCTTGTTCATATCACTTTAATCTCCCCACCATCTATTTGAAGAATTTTTTTTTGGCATGTGTGTATTAGGTCACTGTCCTAAATGCATTGTACTGGTACTGAAGATGATATACGGATTTATTTGTTAACCAGGTTCATTTATATCACCAATAAATATCAGTACAGTATTTGGCTTTCGTACAAGAGATTAATTTGGCAATGACTGTTTGCTTTTCAACAAATAATAGAAGCAAAGCAAATTAAAGATGACCTCGATAACAACAGTATGAAGTACAGAAAGTAATCTCAGCAAGGAGCTATAATGTAATATAATTATACTTCAGTATATTACTACAATTTCAACATGTTTATTTGTTATGCAACATATGATTCATACAGTATGGTTAACAGGTATATAGCTGTGAATTAATATTCAGAACAAAATGTGAAGAAAAAGGGCAGAAACAGTTGTAAATGAAATAGTGAATTTTTAGCCTCACTTAGCTCTCCCAGAAATCAGCATGATATCCACACTCGGCACATGAAAAAAAATCTCCCGGAGACTACCCTACAGCCTGCAAATTCAGAATGTTTGTATTGTATTATCTGTTTATTGCCTCCCTAATTTTAGCTGACCATGCATCACCACGCAGTACAATACAATGACTCACACTAGTATGAAAGTTCAGCTTAAGTCGGATCTTGCCGAAGTAGCCTCTCCCGACTTGGGGACCTACAGAAAATGAAAAAGAAGAATTTAAATGAGCCTTCATGCCAACAGGCTTTTTTTAGATTTTATTTAAAATTAAGAACAAAATAAATACTATGCTTGCCAATTATAGAGTAACAATTAATTGCATAACATTTAAAAAAATAAAATAACAAAAAAACTAAGAATAAGAAGTAATTATTTTTAAGTTTGATGCTGCATGTTATATGGAAGAAGAAGAATTGCATACAAACATCTTCAGGTAGACCCTTTGATTGGTTGCAGCAGGTTTTTCATAAAATTCTGTGTATCATCCGTATGCTCATCCTGCCTTCTTGGAATTATGATGTTTAATCGACAGAGACCACATTGATATGGGTTATTTTTGTAGTACAACATTATGGAGGTATCTATTTTTATACAGTACACCTCACACTGTAAAAGCAGTTTCGAGAAAACAAGCTGGTTTAACTAAACCGTTTCATTTGGCATCAATGTTAATCACCATTCTGCATCATTCAGGACTGCATGGCTAGAAATACTGCGGAATATGTGACCGCGACATGTGGTTGAGGCATTGTGCATAAACCCCAAGGCATTTTTTTTTTTATTTTTCCAGAATATTGTTGGACTGTATAGTGTAGCCTACTGGAGGCATTGGACATGTCTGTATAATGTTTAAAAAGTAGAAATTGTAGGGCAATAGTATACCCCTCCTCCTAGGTTTTTCAAAATTATAAAAAAAAAGGATATACCTGTATATTAAATTTAAGTCTGAGAGCTGTGCCATTTCCCAGCCATTATATTCACAATTTTATGTCTGTGAGTGCCATTTCCGGCCATCTAGACGTGCCATAATAATACATTTTCTTTTATCTCAGCCCCACAAGGGCAACAGCATATGTGTGTCTGAAATTGACTGTAGGACATATCATATTATAACCAGTGGCGGAATAAAGTGTTGGGGGGGGGGCAGCCAGCCTGGACCATATACCATATTATAACGATTAACGACGGGGCCCCCCTCTCGGCCCGGGACCCCACCAAATTTGTCAAAAAAAAACAAAAAAAAAAAATTAAAAATGGAGATTAAAAGAAAATTATATTCACAATTTTATGTCTGTGAGTGCCATTTCCGGCCATCTAGACGTGCCATAATAATACATTTTCTTTTATCTCAGACCCACAAGGGCAACAGCATAATGTGTGTCTGAAATCGACTGTAGGACACATCATATTATAACCAGTGGCGGAATAAAGTGTTGGGAGGAGGGGCAGCCGGCCTGGAGCTGCCGGCCTGGGGCCCACTAATTTTGTCAAAATATTTAACTGGAGATAAAAAGAAAATCATATTCACAATTTTATGTCTGTGAAGTGCCATTTCTGACCATCTAAATGTGCCATATTCGTAAATGTTCTTACCTCAGCCTCAACCATGGTGGGTCGAAGGTGGTATAGACTCTCCAACTGTGAAAGTCCCTCCCTGGCCTCAAATTTCTGGATCCATATTATATCATTTTCGTCGTTAAAAACATTTAGAATAACAATGCACATCTAAAATCCCACCATGGAATTGGTGACCAGGACCCAAAAAAGGCCCCCAGTTTCAGAAATACACAGGGCCCCCGGCCCCATCGTTACGCCACTGCCCACCATAGTTGGGGTGAGATTAGAAAATTTACGATTATGGTCACCTCTAAAAAAACTTAAAACTTGAATGTAATTTCCTAAATTTTTGACAATTTTGAATCTTCCACTGCTAAATGTGCCAAAATCATAAACTTTCTCACTTCATGCCTTAATCATGGTGGGGCTGAGGTGGTCAGACCCTCCACCTGTAAAAGTCCGTTCCTGGGCCCCCTCTATTTCTAATTCCTGGATCCGCCACTGGTCCAGCATCATCATAGCATGTGCAAAAAAGTTTGGAAGTCATAAAACAGTAGTCACTCTTGGATTATTATTGGCACTATTCAAAGACTTTAAAATACAGTAATGATAAAAACAATAATAATAACAAGTAGATTTGAACTCGTCACTGAGGACGAGTTAGGTGATCCGCCGTACTTTGACCCTCATAAAGCTCACGCGGTGCTGATTGAAAAGGGTCATAATATGCTAAAATATGCTGTAATTAGTTTTTTAAAAAAGAATAATTTTGAGCATTTTGAAAGATTTAGTCTTGACGCCCGTGAGCACAGTAATAGCACAAAGAGTGACTCCTGATATGAATAAGAGCACGGTAATAGCACAAAGAGTGACTCCTGATATGAATAATGTGTCAGGAACACAAAGTATGTAACAAACGTGATTTCCAGCTTCAGTACGTGTTGCGTGCGTGGAAATGAACGTATGGCGCGTAAATATGGAAAGTTTTGGAATGCTGAAAATGACCGAAAACGTTCTTTAAACTATCTGAATAGTGATATGGAGAATTTTCAAATTTTGTGACGTGCACGTGTACAGTAATGACACATAAAATTAAATTTTGTCAAGTGTTTTTAAAACCGCCTGTTAGTTGGTAATGCCACACGAATTTTCCCTTCATATAACCTATATATATATCAGTCTGATAGCGTCGAAATACAGTCTGCCGCCCTCTCTCTGTTCTATCTCTTTACATCTTTTAAGAATGAGAGATAAAAGGGCTCCAAAAATTAATTCTTTTTGACCATGCTGACGTGATGAAATGAAAAATAAAGGGACGCATCTGAAAGAGAACAGATTTAGCTATAATATACTCACAGGTGGGAGACAATCAATCAAGATAAGCGAGATACGTTCAAACGAGTATAAAAAGTAATAACGTCAGTTTTTTCTTAATTTAAATGGCAATATGATGACGTCACAATGTCCAATCAGCCATTATGATCTATAAAATCGTATCTACAACTCATGTGCTCTCAGAATATGTAATAAATATTGGGGGTCACCTTTCATCCTAAGGAGCTATATTTGATTATAAATAGGCATAATTATAAGCATATGTAATTTTTGACGCACACGTACGCGCACATTCAGACGCGCAAACAAAAAAGTAAGATACTTAACATTCAGCCTTGACCTGAAGTATAAGCCCATTTAATATTATTCAGAAATGAAGAATGGTTAAGATATGACGTCATCAACGTTTTGAGAAAAGAAATATATATATTTTTAAAAATTCAAATGGCAATATGATGACGTCACAATGTCCGATCAGCCATTATGATCTATAAATCATATCTACAACTCATGTGCTCTCAGAATATGTAATAAAAATTGGGGGTCACCTTTCATCCTAAGGAGTTATATTTGATTATAAATAGGCACAATTATAAGCATATGTAATTTTTGAAAAAAAAAGTAAGATACCTAACATTCAACCTTGACCTGAAGTATATAAGCCCATTTAATATTACTCAGAAATGATGGAGAATTTTCAAATTTTGTGACGTGCACGTGTACAGTAATGGCACACAAAATTAAATATTGTCAAGTGTTTTTAAAACCGCCTGTTAGTTGGTAATGCCACACGAATTTTCCCTTCATATAACCTATGTATATCAGTCTGATAGCGTCGAAATACAGTCTGCCGCCCTCTCTCTGTTCTATCTCTTTACATCTTTTAAGAATGAGAGATAAAAGGGCTCCAAAAATTAATTCTTTTTGACCATGCCGACGTGATGAAATGAAAAATAAAGGGACGCGTCTGAAAGAGAACAGATTTAGCTATAATACTCACAGGTGGGAGACAATCAATCAAGATAAGCAAGATACGTTCAAACAAGTATAAAAAGTAATAACGTCAGTTTTTTCTTAATTTAAATGGCAATATGATGACGTCACAATGTCCAATCAGCCATTATGA